AATTCCTCCCTCCCTTTTCACCTCATAAACCTCAAACTAAATTTTTCACGCTCTACTCATAATTCCCTTTCGATAGACATGTAACATATAGTTAACGAACCAAGAAGCCCACTGACCCTTCCTTCCCCCCTTTTAATCCGCTTAACAACTTTTTTATTTCTCTGATTTCTCCACTTCTAATTAACCTACACACCTCGGATCACTTTCTTTCTTCCCAGAATTTCCTCCTCTTTCTAACGACATCAGTCACTAACCCCTCACTCCCCCCTTCTTTCCCCCCTTCTTTCCCCCCTTTTTTAATCCAGTTTTATTTCTCACATTTCTTCGCAACTAAAGCCCTCAGCCCCACTGTTCTTCCTTCACTCTTTACTCCTCAACCCCCTCTTCCTTCCACCGACACAACTCTTCCTCTCAATCCCCCCTTCACTTTGTTATTTTCTATCCATTTTTCTGGTTCTACTCCTTTCTCTAGCGCGCAACAATCGTTATAACCGACTAACAACCTATTCTTCACCCCATTCTTACCTCCCCCCCTCACCCCACCCCGAAACCCACATCTGAACTTAGAGAGGTCTAGCATCACCACCAAGAGCCCTGATAGCAAATTGTATGTTTTCTGAAATGAACTAAGTATTTTAATGTACTATTATTATTATTCTTTTATGTCGTGCGTTTACACTGTAGTATATGAATCACATTAGTGCCAACTAGTGCCCCTCTGTTTGTGCATTCCACTATAGGGAATTCCTTTTGCAATAGTCTTCCATTTTAAGTGCGTACAGAGCAGTAAATAATTCAAAATGTCGGATAGTTCACGTCCACCTTTCCCAGTCTTAATTGAAGACCAGGAGAGCACACCAATGACCTATAGAAAGAATTCTGACAGACCCTCTACAGTGCTAGAACTTTCACCAAATGATGGTGATTCTCTCTCCTCCCCATTCGATATCTACTCAAGATGCGTAGAAATTGCAAATGCGAGATACAGCTCCAAGTTTGTGATACCGACGGCCTTAAGGGAAGAGCTGTACTCCCTCTTGACGAAACTATACGAACTCGAACAGGATGCGAAAATCCTGACACAGCGTGAAAAACAAGATCAGGCGACTTCAATAGAACTGTCACTTTACGATCACCGATCAGGCCAGTCACATCATTTACCAGAGATTAGCCCCATAATGGAGGGCTCAGACAGCACAACGAACGTTCATCATAAGACCTGCTGTAGCTCTCATCCAACGGGTCGACAGATCTCGACCTCGTATGGAGGTGCTTTGAGCAACACCCAAGAGCGAGATCCCCCTCATCTCAGCTCATTGACACCTTCGTACGCTCAAGTGGTTAGAACGATTCAAAGAAAGCCAAAAATGCAGAAAGACAGACCAACCCTTCTTATTTTGCCAAAGGAAGGTCAGAAGAGAGAAGATGTTCAAACACAGTTAGAAAAGTGCGTGAACATAGAAGACTCAGGTCTTAAGCTCCGAGGCATTTCCAAATTAGCAAGTGGAGGAGTAGCGGTTCGTTGCTCTACTAAGGAAGAGGTACAGCTGCTCAATTACCTCCTGACTCAACAACAACCTATCAAGGACATGTTTCACACGCGTATCCCAGTAAAACGAACACCCAAATGTGTGATAGACAACTTCCCAACGAGTTGTACGGAACAGGAGGCAAGCGCGATAATAGCCAAGTCTTGCACACTTCAGGAGACTGATTTTCGCATGTTGTTCAAAAGGCAAGACAGAAAGAACAGAGCCACCAAGTGGGTGTTAGAATGTAACCCCTCGGCATTCAGTAGCCTCATCAAACTAAAGTCATTCCTAGCAGGGTGGAGGCAGCATAACATCCAGGAATTCACGGGCTTGAAGCGATGTTTCCGCTGTCAAGCCTTCGATCACATGGAAAGGAACTGCCCGCACAGGCCACACTGCGCTTATTGCAGTGAAGCGCATGAGACCAGGGATTGCAGAGCAACTTCCCCGTCCTGCATCAACTGTATGGTCGCGTTCCAGAATAGAAAAGATGCGCCAGATACAGCACATCCTGCCTACGCGTCCAATTGCCATACATACCAAGCAGAATTAAAGAAACTCCGTGCCAGGACTGACTACGGAGATCAGTTTTAAGGCTCCAGCAGCACATAGTCCAGAAGAAGAAGGAGTCACCAAAGACCCTCGAGTATGTCAACAAGCGTTTCCTTGTCGCTGACTCAGAATCGCCATGTGAACTCCACTCATGCTACCTTCACAGGTGTAACTATTATACAGATAAATCTTCAAAGAGCCAGAGCGGCAACAGCCCAACTAGTTCAATTCGCAATCGAGAGAGATGCAGACTTTTTACTCATACAGGAGCCCATCCTAAGAAAAGGCAAAGTGACAGAATTTCCCCTTACCTGGCAAATTTTCCAGGACACTGAAGCTCCTACGGTTAAAGCAGCGATAGTCTGCTGCCACAGCAAATGGAGACCTATCATCCTGCAGGCAACTTCGAATATCATCTCCATAGTGGTGGAAGAATCAAACATGAAATTGGTTCTCACCAATGTCTATATTCCACCCACCGCTGAAGTATCTCCACCTTTGGATCAACTTCAAAGGCTGCTGGACACCCATCGGACTGCAGAACACATCCTAGCCGGGGACTTCAACTCTCATGCAGAAGACTGGGGCTATTCAGCAACAGACCCCAGGGGTACAGAAGTCAAAGATTTTATTGCAAGCAATGGATTAGTCTTGCATAACATCGTGGAAAGTGGCCCAACGTTCGAAACGGCATCAGGGCGTGGCTGGCCGGATTTGACACTCACATCGGCAGGTCTGGCAACAAAGATACAGAACTGGAAGGTGGATGATACACCATCGTGCTCCGATCACAATTATGTCACCTTCACTCTCGACCATCCTCACGATAGTTACTTAATCAAGAGATATAAGACCTCAAAACATAAGATCAGATCCTTGGAACCTCGACTGTCAACGCTACTACAAAATGTAGAAGCAAGATTCAATGATTGTACTGCTATAGAGGATGCGGATACTCTGACAACACATCTGATAGAAAGCATTCAGGCTCTGTGTGATGAGACACTGCGCATAAAGACCACCAGAACGCTAAAAACAGCGAACTGGTGGACCAAAGATTTACGCTCTCAAAGAAGCAGAACCAGAGCGCTCAGAAGACTTATGAAAAGAGAGACAGATGAGGACAAGAGACAAGAACTGAGTATAGCCTACAGAAAAGCACAGGCCCAGTACAAAAGAGCAATTCGAGAAGCGAAGCTAAAGAGCTGGAAGGACTTTTGCTCTGACAATACAGAGATTTACGGAGCACTGTACAAGATGGCAGCAGACAAGGTTTTTCGCCCTCCCCAGCATCGCATTTATCCAGGCACATCACCAAATGCATGCATCACAGAGACTACCCTACGAAGAATCCTGGATGCGGTATTTCCCAGTGAAGACCCGTCTACCCATCCTTTTCAACATGCCTACAGTCTCACATCAGCTTCTCCAGATGACGTCCCGTTCACAGCAAAGGAGGTGAATGTTACAATTAAAAGTCTCCCGACCAAAAAAGCACCAGGCCCTGATTCGATTGACTACACAATCCTCAGGGCCATGCACAAGGCAAGGCCAAGCTTTTTAGTAAATTATTTCAACATGCTCCTAAGGTTAAGCTACTTTCCGAAACTTTTCAAAACCGGACAAGTAGTCCTGTTTGAAAAAGCGGGTAAAGATCTGAATGACCCCGCTTCTTATAGACCGATATGTCTCCTGCTGGTCATTGGGAAGCTCTACGAGAAACTTCTCACCCAGAGACTAAAGTACCACCTGAATGAAAATAATATCATTACAGACGACCAGTTCGGGTTTAGAGAACACAGATCAACTGTTACTGCAATTCAGAAGCTCCAGTCAGAAGTCCAGCAGTTGCATAGAAGTGGCCAACATGCAATAATCCTTAGCCTGGACCTCAAGAGCGCATTTGATTCCCTGTGGTGGCCGTCAGTCATAGAGGCCCTTCACGCAGCAAAAGTCCCAAACAATGTCTTGCAAACGTTTAAGACCTATCTGATGGACCGCAAGTTCCTAATTGCTACAAATGAAGGTCTTATAGAGAAAGACCAGACAAGGGGCTGCCCGCAGGGATCATGTGCTGGTCCAGACTTATGGAACTTGACGTTTAATTCAATTCTGTCGTATGACTGGCCAGCACACACGAAAGTCACCGCTTTTGCTGACGATGCAACATTCGTGGTTGGAGGCAGAAGCAGAGACATCCTAGAAACAAACTGCAACGAAATTATAGCAACCTTTACCAGACTCTGTCAAGAGAAGAAGCTAATGATTTCAGAGACAAAGTCCCGTTATCTGATCTACCATAAACCCAGACAGACAATCTCACGTAATCCACAGATCAAGCTTGCAGGTAAGACAATCAAAAGAGTCAAGCAGCTAAAATTGCTTGGAGTAATCTTGGACGAGAAGAACACCTGGCAGCCGCACCTACATGCGCAGCGAGAAAAAACAAGAAGAATAGCTAACAGTCTGCAAAGGATGCAAGGCCCATATTGGGGACTAAGGCCCCACATTCTTAAGCATCTCTACCTCACGGTGGTAGAGAAGATCCTGGTCTATGCGGCAGCTATATGGGCAATTCCCATGACATCAAGGAAGGCCAGACTTCTTGATAGCGCTCAAAGACCCTTTGTCCTAGGCATAACCAGGACATATAGAACGACATCCACAGCAGCAGCAACGGTACTTGCGGGTATCCTCCCTCTACCTCTAAGGGCCCAACAGAGGCAGCGTTAACCTCATTATGGCAGCTGAGAAAAGAGGTTTCTCTGGGTCCATGCACTTTCCTCCCGTGCAATCATGAAGAAAGGATGTCTCGCCTATTGATCCATCCAAGCAAATACGGTGCAGGGATTCACATATTTTACTCACCAGAACTTCCACCAAGGACAGAAGGCCCGGGCGTGTTCATCTACACGGATGGGTCCAAAAATAGATGAAGAAGTGGGGTGCGCATTGGTGGTCTACAAAGACGGCGTGCCTATATCAACCTGGAAATGCCATCTCCAACCAGGAAACACAGTATTTCAAGCAGAGGCACTAGCGCTCAGCAAGGCAGTAGACTGGCTCATTACATCAGGAGAGCGGATTGGTACGATCTACTCTGACAGCCTGTCTTCAATTCAAGCAATAAAATGCCCATTCCATCATTCGCCTACGATTAGGGCATTACAACTCAAAGTACAGAACGCAAAGGATCTTCATACCAGAATATCCTGGGTGAAAGCCCATGCCGGGGTCACTGGAAACGAACAGGCAGACGAGCTCGCCAAAGAGGCTGCGCGGCAGATAGATGCAGAGGAAGTGCATCTAAAATTTCCAAAATCCAATGCCAAGAGGCAAATGAAAGAGATAATTGAAAACCAATGGCAGCAGCATTGGAATGGTATCACCCAGGGCAGAAGAACCTATGAATTCCTGCCAAAAGTCTCACTGGAACGGGTGCTGTCAGCACCGTTTCTAACAAGATACATCACGGGACACGGCCCGTTCCCGAGCTACTTCTTTGAACGGGCATCTCAGCATCCAATCTCTGCGTGTGCGGGCAACTAGGTCATCCCGACCACTATCTGTCAGAATGCCCACTCACGGCAGAATGGCACATTCCATTCCCGAGAGACAATGTATTGCCGTTTAAGCGCCTAATAATAAAGCGACGTTCAGAAAAAAAAAAAAAAAAAAAAAAAAAAAAAAAAAAAAAAACGTCTAACGAATCTACGCAAGATAATGGACAAGCTAGAAGCCTTAGGGCAAGACCTCTGCCATGCAAATTAAAATTTTATCACGTTAACAGTTCACGCACTCAGAGGGGTACTTCCTATCCTTGCTTGCACTATACCTTATCAGTATGTAATTATGTATGTATAATGCAACATTACGAATGTATGTATAAAGCGTATCCTGTAAAGTACAATGAATATTGATTGATACGATCTACTCTGACAGCCTGTCTTCAATTCAAGCAATAAAATGCCCATTCCATCATTCGCCTACGATTAGGGCATTACAACTCAAAGTACAGAACGCAAAGGATCTTCATACCAGGATATCCTGGGTGAAAGCCCATGCCGGGGTCACTGGAAACGAACAGGCAGACGAGCTCGCCAAAGAGGCTGCGCGGCAGATAGATGCAGAGGAAGTGCATCTAAAATTTCCAAAATCCAATGCCAAGAGGCAAATGAAAGAGATAATTGAAAACCAATGGCAGCAGCATTGGAATGGTATCACCCAGGGCAGAAGAACCTATGAATTCCTGCCAAAAGTCTCACTGGAACGGGTGCTGTCAGCACCGTTTCTAACAAGATACATCACGGGACACGGCCTGTTCCCGAGCTACTTCTTTGAACGGGGCATCTCAGCATCCAATCTCTGCGTGTGCGGGCAACTAGGTCATCCCGACCACTATCTGTCAGAATGCCCACTCACGGCAGAATGGCACATTCCATTCCCGAGAGACAATGTATTGCCGTTTAACCCGGTAGCACTCGCGCGGGGTGACTGAGTCACCCCAGCCTCATAAAACCTTTCATTCTGGAATTTCTATTTATCCGCTATGAATCAGCCCTTCAGTAGCTAACTTTTAAACGGTTTTCTTTCAATAGCACCTGCCAGCAGCAGGTGTTTTTCTTTTGTTGGGGAGGAGCAATCATTTCTTGGAACGCTACATGCAACTGGGGTAACCTGGGAACCCCCGTGACCAGATTTGTTCTGAAATTTCTCACTTTAGCTTCTTGCTTGCATAGATTGTGCATGTGTGCTATACTGTAGTCGTTCGAAAATGGCTCTCAAACGAAAAATGACAGATTATGAAAAAGAAATGGAACACTTGAGAATGTTATTGGATACTGTGGAAACTTCCGATGAAGAAATGGATAACTGCTAGTGAAAATGAAGTAGATCAAGAAATTTATAGCAGTCATGACAGCGACAGTGAGTTTGAAGCTGAAATAAAACGCTTGAATCTAATGAAAAAAGTGACAGTTATATAGGAAAAAATAAAACAGTTTGGAAGAAAAGTAAACCGAATCAGAAGGTAAGAACCAGTTCCTGTAATATTATAACCCACTTACCAGGTCTGAAATCAGTTGCAATAAGTATTATGGAACCAATTGAAAGTTGGGGAACTTTTTATGGATTTCAATATTATAAAAATATTGTGGACTGCACCAATATTTTTATTGATAAAATATCCGAAAATTTTCAACGGAGTCGAGATGCTAGGCATACAGATGAAGTGGAGATGAGAGCACTGTTTGGTCTTTTATATTTATGCGGATTGCATAAATCTTCTCATGCTAATGCAAAAGACTTGTGGGACGCTGATGGCACCGGAATTGAATTATTCCGAAAGACAATGTCTTACAAACGATTCACTTTTCTTCTAAGGTGCTTGAGATTAGACAATGTAAACGATCGCGAAGCTCGAAGACAGTTGGATAAGCTGGCAGCTGTGAGAGATTTCTTCAGCGATTTCAATAAAAAACGCGCGAGTGTCACTTATGTCTACTAAAAATCCTCCCTTGCAGTATAAAAGTAGACGAATGTTTTTGAAAACATTGGCATTATCTCTCGTAAACCCACAAATAAAGAGGAGATCAAATATGCAAATGTTACCCAGAGAATTACGAGAGAAATGAATCAGAATTTCTCAACAGAAAGGAATGCCGTTTCTGAAGAGAACTTGCCAAAGAGAATGAAGCTTGGTAAAGGACGATGTACAATATGTCCTCGAGCTAAGGACCAAAAACAACAATTTCTTGTATGAAATGCCAAAATTTTACTTGCAAGGATCACTCTAATTATGTTTGTGACAAATGTGTTTAAAATTCAATAAAGGTATGTAACTGATTTTTATTTGTAATTGAGTAAGTTTTTTCCTATAACATTAGTAGTAGAAATTAACGTAAATATATTTTCAAATTAATATTCATGCTTTAGAATATACTAAAAAACTGTATTTTATACCTTTTCAATTTATTTGCACTTAAGTTTATATGTGTATATTGAATTAAGCTTAAATTTATCGGTGGGGTTATACAGGTACCCCGCGCGACCAAAATGTGCTCTGTTTAGCGCGCGCCTTCCACCGGGTTAAGCGCCTAATAATAAAGCGACGTTCATGTCTAACGAATCTACGCAAGATAATGGACAAGCTAGAAGCCTTAGGGCAAGACCTCTGCCATGCAAATTAAAATTTTATCACGTTAACAGTTCACGCACTCAGAGGGGTACCTTCCTATCCTTGCTTGCACTATACCTTATCAGTATGTAATTATGTATGTATAATGCAACGTTACGAATGTATGTATAAAGCGTATAATGTAAAGTACAATGAATATTGATTGATACGATCTACTCTGACAGCCTGTCTTCAATTCAAGCAATAAAATGCCCATTCCATCATTCGCCTACGATTAGGGCATTACAACTCAAAGTACAGAACGCAAAGGATCTTCATACCAGGATATCCTGGGTGAAAGCCCATGCCGGGGTCACTGGAAACGAACAGGCAGACGAGCTCGCCAAAGAGGCTGCGCTGCAGATAGATGTAGAGGAAGTGCATCTAAAATTTCCAAAATCCAATGCCAAGAGGCAAATGAAAGAGATAATTGAAAACCAATGGCAGCAGCATTGGAATGGTATCACCCAGGGCAGAAGAACCTATGAATTCCTGCCAAAAGTCTCACTGGAACGGGTGCTGTCAGCACCGTTTCTAACAAGATACATCACGGGACACGGCCTGTTCCCGAGCTACTTCTTTGAACGGGGCATCTCAGCATCCAATCTCTGCGTGTGCGGGCAACTAGGTCATCCCGACCACTATCTGTCAGAATGCCCACTCACGGCAGAATGGCACATTCCATTCCCGAGAGACAATGTATTGCCGTTTAAGCGCCTAATAATAAAGCGACGTTCATGTCTAACGAATCTACGCAAGATAATGGACAAGCTAGAAGCCTTAGGGCAAGACCTCTGCCATGCAAATTAAAATTTTATCACGTTAACAGTTCACGCACTCAGAGGGGTACCTTCCTATCCTTGCTTGCACTATACCTTATTAGTATGTAATTATGTATGTATAATGCAACGTTACGAATGTATGTATAAAGCGTATAATGTAAAGTACAATGAATATTGATTGATACGATCTACTCTGACAGCCTGTCTTCAATTCAAGCAATAAAATGCCCATTCCATCATTCGCCTACGATTAGGGCATTACAACTCAAAGTACAGAACGCAAAGGATCTTCATACCAGGATATCCTGGGTGAAAGCCCATGCCGGGGTCACTGGAAACGAACAGGCAGACGAGCTCGCCAAAGAGGCTGCGCGGCAGATAGATGCAGAGGAAGTGCATCTAAAATTTCCAAAATCCAATGCCAAGAGGCAAATGAAAGAGATAATTGAAAACCAATGGCAGCAGCATTGGAATGGTATCACCCAGGGCAGAAGAACCTATGAATTCCTGCCAAAAGTCTCACTGGAACGGGTGCTGTCAGCACCGTTTCTAACAAGATACATCACGGGACACGGCCCGTTCCCGAGCTACTTCTTTGAACGGGGCATCTCAGCATCCAATCTCTGCGTGTGCGGGCAACTAGGTCATCCCGACCACTATCTGTCAGAATGCCCACTCACGGCAGAATGGCACATTCCATTCCCGAGAGACAATGTATTGCCGTTTAAGCGCCTAATAATAAAGCGACGTTCATGTCTAACGAATCTACGCAAGATAATGGACAAGCTAGAAGCCTTAGGGCAAGACCTCTGCCATGCAAATTAAAATTTTATCACGTTAACAGTTCATGCACTCAGAGGGGTACCTTCCTATCCTTGCTTGCACTATACCTTATCAGTATGTAATTATGTATGTATAATGCAACGTTATGAATGTATGTATAAAGCGTATAATGTAACTTATAATGTATAATGTGTACAATGTAACGTATAATGTATAATGAAATGTGCAATGTATAATGCAATGATTTAAGTAATGTCATGTATACGTAGTATCCTGTAAAGTGCAATGAATAACGGAATAATTAATGAAGTGTATCCTGTAAAGTACAATTAATAACGCTTATGTATGTATAATGTTTATAATGTAACTTATAATGTATAATGTGTACAATGTAACGTATAAGGAATAATGAAATGTGCAATGTATATAATGCAATGATTTAAGTAATGTCATGTATACGTAGTATCCTGTAAAGTACACTGAATAACGGAATAATTAATGAAGTGTATCCTGTAACGTACAATGAATAACGCTTATGTATGTATAATGTGTATAATGTAACTTATAATGTATAATGTGTACAATGTAACGTATAATGTAAAATGAAATGTGCAATGTATAATGCAATGATTTAAGTAATGTCATGTATACGTAGTATCCTGTACAGTACAATGAATAACGGAATAATTAATGAAGTGTACCCTGTAAAGTACAACGAATAACGCTTATGTATGTATAATGTGACTTATAATGTGTAATGTGTACAATGTAACGTATAATGTACAATGAAATGAGCGAATGTATAATGTAACTTATAGTGTATAATGCGTACAATGTAACGCATAATGTATAATGAAATGTGCAATGTGCTGCTAAACAAATGGAGACATGCAATTCCTCGGGCCGGCCGAATACTTTCAGAGAAGGATGTTGTGTGCGAGCATCATTTTGCAGAAAGTGATGTAAAACGATTTTATGAGACGAAGTTGTCCGATGGGACAATATTCAATTTGGAAATGGGCCGCCCTAGACTCCAAGAAGGAGCAATACCCTCAATCTTTCCAAATCTGCCTTTATATTTATCCAAACCAGCACGTAAAAGAAAAGCACCTCCTGCAAGAAATGTGCCTGTTAATAAGAAGAATGCTCCATTGGTTGCAGATAATGTTGCCGCTACTAAGCAGAATTTTACATTTCCACTGTTGACTGAAAGTCTGCAGAAGATTTCCAAACCACATTGTTTGTGGACTGTAAATTCTGTAGTTGAATTTATTGTATGTGCTCGATGGGCAACTAATTACATGTGTGAAAAAAGGGTTATAATTGATAAAGATATGACTATAAAGGTTAGTTTTGTTTTGACATTTTTATAATTTCAGTATTGCGTGTCAAACTGCACTTGGTACTATTGTGCTACACATTTATTGCTTTTTTTTTCATGTGTAATTTATTCTTCACTTATTTATTGTTATTTTTACAGATTTCTACGTTATCTTCTGAATTTTTGAGCTATGAATAGATGGATTTTTTTTTTTTTTTTTTTTTTTTAAATTAAGGAAATTGTCAGAGATGATAATACTTGTCTGTAGTGTCTTAGAAAGCTTATTTTTCAATCAAAAACATGTTCTGAGAGACATAACATGAAATTATGTCTGAATGGAAATGGATTAGGCATATTTCATTATCATTGGTTTCATGCCTTAGGAAAGAAACCAACAAGTGTCTGGTTAAGAAGCACATGGCAGAGGAACCAACTATTATGACTGACGAATGGCAGGCATATCCATAGGCAGGCATGGGTATTATGTGCATAAGATTGTTAATTATCTCGCAAATTTTGTTAAGGTGCAACTGATGCTCTTAGTCTATAAAATCCTGCTGCCTTTGATATTATGAGTACAAAATTGTGGTCTTGAAAAGTAGAATTAGCTAATCACCTACTGAATACCTGTTTCGACATGAAGTTAAGTGTAATGGTCAAGATCCATTGATTAAATCGCTATTAAAAATTATCTCCTCGTAGGGTAATATGCATCTGTCAATTTCCTTAACAGCATAATTTTTTGGGGTGGGGTTAAATGCCCTTTACAGGACCATATAAATCTGATAAGAGAGAAATGAAATTACTGTATATATATATAGCAAGCTTTCTTTTTATCTCTTTTGTAATAATAGAATTCTTCTAAAAACATATTTCAATAATAATACTAGTAGCATGTATTGTACTTTCTTATGCTAGTTTTTACTTACATGTGCTTAATATACTTATATATCACATGTAACAAGTTAAATTTGACACGTGTAACAAGTTAAATATATGCTTAATATCATATTTCATCTGCTAACTTAACTAAGTACCACTAAAAACATTGCCGTGTGCAAGCTTGGCAGTGAAAAAGTGCATTAGTGCTTACAAGTTCTGCCAGTAGTAAATAGTTGTTTATTTATTTATTTATTTTTATGTAGACATTTTTGAAAGATAGGCAGATTTTAATTTCCAAAAGTCGAATTACTTCTATTGAGGACTTAGCAGCTTGCTTAGAAGAAGTAGAATGTTATGTTATTTGCAGAAACATAGACAGGTTTGCTTTTAAAATGTTTATTTTCATTAAATTAGTTATTTTTGGTCATTATTCTAGTACTTAAAGAGAAACGCATATCCTAATTGAGAACATAATTAACTATATTGAGTTAAACTATGATTATATTTCCAGAGAAGAAAACTGCCTTGCATATGCAGGATCTGTTGGTTTCAAAAGAGGCCCT